CAGTCGAAAGTTTGGACACACCTTCTCATTCAAGGGTTTTTCTTTATTTTTACTATTTTCTACATTGTAGAATAATAGTGAAGACATCAAAACTATGAAATAACTACCTCATGAAGCTGGTTGAGAGAATGCCAAGAGTGTGCAAAGCTGTCATCAAGGCAAAGGGTGGCTTTTTGAAGGATCTCAAATATAAAATATATTTTGATTTGTTCAACCCTTTTTTGGTTACAACATGATTCCATATGTGTTATTTCATAGTTTTGATGTCTTCACTATTATTCTACAATACTTTCGACTGGTACTGTAAGTGACATCCCGGCATCCCGGCAACTTTATGAAAATACACTTTATATCGGAGTTGTCCTTGTTGAAATTCGAGATGGTCTATGCATATTCATGAGGCTAGCATCTTACTCTCCATTCAATACAGGCGGTTGATGTCAACACTCTTTATCGAATATTCAAAAAAAGTATTCAAATAACGAGATGTATCCACCAATCCAAAGAGAGGAATGGGCAGACAATGAATCCCATTGTTAGGGCGGAGACACAAGCGTCTTGTCATTTTATCAGAGAGGAAGAGGCGAAGCGAGAGGGATAACTGGGCCCAAAATCTGTCTTCTCCGGCAGGTGGCGTTTTTTCATTTTTTTCGCTCACCAAGCGAGGAGTTTTTGTATGGAGGTCAATGAGAGTGTCGAATTTGGTCAACAAAAAATGTAACGTCTTATTTGCTACGTGTGACTTATTTGATTAAATAGAAGCTTGGTAATGCTTAGGTTGTTACGAGTGTACTAATATAAGTAGGACACATGACATCCCGGCAACTTTGAGAAAAAAAAGACTTTATATCGGAGTTGTGCCTGTTGTTCAAGCACATATCTGCCCTCTCATTGGCTAGAATAGTACCACCTGATCTTGCCTCCTCTCGACTGTCTTCCATTTTTGAAGACATTTATATTAGAGCAGCCACATTGTTAGAGCAGCCACTTAAGTATCTGGTCAATATAATAGATCATCTGTGATTATATCAAGTATCTCGGGACGCATGCAGCTGCACTCCGGATTGATGATTACTTGTATGCTGCCAGCTGTGGGCATGTGGGCAGGATTGAAACAAACCCAACCCTAATTTACAATTTTGATGCAGTCACGACCACAAGTCTCACATAACTCAATTTTGGACGAGACTGACTTTATGACCAAAATTATCCTATTTACACTTTGTAGTCAATTCTGACAGTAGTTTCATATCGATGCCACATGTTTTCTAAATGAGAAGTTGTATTATTTTTTATAAATGTTTACGATATAACCAATTTCGACTTTGAAGCTTGGCCACGAAGTGGTAACCATTTTTCACCCCTCAAAAAGTTAGATACAGTATTTCAAATATATTCAGTATGTCAGCAAAGTTAACTTACATTGCATTATCCAGTAACCACATCCACCTTTAATCCAAATGTTATACTTTTCTAATATATATATGTTTTTTTCTTCCATATGGAAATGAATACTGACAAATAAATGCTCATATTATTTTATTGATGAAGTATTCCACTAAATGAAAGAAGATAGAAATTAACTTTTGACCAATGCTAGCTGATAATATTTACTCTTCCATCTGGTTGTGTTCTTACATCTTCTTCAGTATGAGGTCTGGGATGTACACCATGTGATTTTCTTTGCCATATGCCTTTTTCAACAGCTTTTCTCTTTCTTTCTCCCTCTGTTTCTTTTCGTTATAGTTCCTTGCCACCTCGTCCAGGTGGGCTTTCACCCTCTCCTTATTCTTCCTCACTTCTTCCTTACTCTCTGCTTTTCTAGCTCTGAGCAGTTCTTTTACTTTGTTATTCTCCAACAAGTCTCTTTCTTTCCTCTCCTTTTTCTCCTGCTTTGCCCTGGCTCTCTGGGCGCGTTTAGTTTCCATCTGAAAGAGAAAGTCCATACATGTTAGTCAGTGATCAGAGATATTATTATTACTCCTTCTCTAGCATGCAGTCAACTTAATATGTTGAATCTGATAGTATAACCATTAGGAGGTGACTTATGACCTCCCTGAACTGTGACTGGTTAAATGGAGTACTGTACCTGTGCCTGCTCTTGCTCTCTGAACCTCAGGACAGTCTGCATCTGGTACAGCTTTATGTACGCCTCCTTCATCCTCTCCACCACATCCCTCTTCTCTATTGCCCATCTCTCTTTCTCCCTTTGCATTTTCTCAATTTCACTACTCTTTCTCTCCCGCTCCTCTGTAATCTTCCAGTTCTCCTTCTCCATCTCTCTCTTTTCCATCTCCCATCCCTTCTTCTCTTGTCCATTCAGGCACAGAATCCTCATCTTTTCTCTTTCCAGAGCCTCTATCGCTCTCTCCTTCTCTCTCAGCTCAATTATCCACTCCTCTGCTGCCTGCGTGCTCCTCCTCTTAATCTCCTCCTTCTCCTTCATCCATCTTTCCCCCCGTTGATCCAAGAGGCTTCGTAGGCCAGCCTTGGCCTTGGCCCATCTCCCCCTGTCCTCCTTCCAGGCTACTAGGGTCTGATTCCTCTCCTGGTCTGCTTTGGCCAAAGCTGTCTCCAAACCATTTCTTATGAGGTTCCATCCATTCCTCTCTCTCACCCTCTCCTTCCCCACCCTTTCATTCTCAGCTAACAGTCTCTTCTTGTTCTCCACTGTCACCTTCCATAACTTGGCCAAGGACATCTTCACCTTTGCTATCTTGTCCACCAACGTTTGTGTGTCAGCCACTGCGCTTTCTCTCTGTTTGTCCAACACCTCTCTCACCCTTTCATTCTCAGCTGACAGCCTCGTGTTCTCCACGGTCAACTTCCCTATCTTGGCCAAGTGCAGTATGTTCTGCACCTTCAGCTTTGCCATCTTGAGCTCCATATTTTTTCTGTCTGACACTGCACTTTCTCTCTGTTTCTCAAACAACTCTCTCTCCAGCTTCCATTGGTAGCAGTTTACCTCAATAGAAGCCTCAGTCTCCCCTATCTGTCTCAGCAACTCTTCAATTAGCCTTTCTCTTTCTTGCTCTGGTTCCACCCTCACCTTGTTGACTTCCTCCAACACCTCTCTCTGCAGCTTCCACCAGTAGTGGTCTACCTTGTTACAAGTCTCAATCTCCTTTCTCATTCTCAGCAGCCCCTCCATTTCTCTTTGTCTTTATTTCTCTCGTTCCCCCCTCACCTTGTTGCCTTTCTCCATCTCCTCACTTTCAGTCAATTATTTCTCCAGCTTACTGACCCCTCTCTGCATTGATATATGGAGAAACATGTATTAGTTATTTTTATTTGTTCTTATCATTTTCTTAAAACTGTCTGACCATGCCAGATTTCAAACTTCAGTTACCCTCAGGGTAATTGGTATAATCTAGTAAATGCTAGTGAGCAGGCCTACTTTTACTGATTTATTTTAAAGTCTGAACCATTTTTACACATCAGGCTATTATTTTCTGACCAGCTGTTGACCGGATTAATTCTCCAGATTCAGTCTCACCTCTGCGAATTCCGGCCAATTACAAAGAGTTAAAAAAGTATACAATTGAGAAGTTATGGTTTAGTGAATGGATACGGTTTTTTTCGTTGGTTCTTCTGGTTGTTGTAACATTCTAGGGTATTAATATTTAGCCAAGGAATGTAGCCTAATTGTTGCATCATAATGAGATTGGAATTGTGGCTTGAATTCTGTATTCTGGCCTGAAATCTCTGAATTCTAAAGATTTTAGAACGATATAAAAAAAAATCTTAATGATGTTCTACATAGCCTTACACAATAAATTCGGTCTATTTCAAATAGATTCTAAATCAAGATGACTTTGTAAGTAATTAAATATCTCAGTGTTTAGTAGCCTACCGTATGGTTCGTCGCTGGGCTTCTTGAAGGTGGTCTCCACGGTGGTCCTTGTGGTTCATGCATAGGCTGCCGTGCCCTCTTAATGTTTAATTGGTAGCATAATGGTTAGAGTAAAAACATTTTGCCATCTGCAAATTATGCAACATTTGAAAACCTATCAACATTACCTTGAAAAACGGACGGTCATGTATAATTTCTAATAAGTTATCTGACCTAAAGTAGTACTTTTAACAGTCTCGGAGAGAGAGAGAGAGAGAGAGAGAGAGAGAGAGAGTGGGCTACGCGTGGGCGAGAGTGAGAAAGCGAGAGAGAGCAGAAAGTGACACGCACTACACAGTTTATCATTAGTTGTCAGACAGATGCGTGCGACAGTCGGAGAGTTTGAGTTTCAGAGGAAGGACATCATCCTATAGCGTTTGCACTGTCGCTAACGGAGACTGTAGGACAGACTGATCAAAAGATAAGGAGTGGCAGTTGATATTTGTCGCCAGTTGAGAGACGTTTGGTAAGAGTTGATTGCTTGTTTCGTTCTTATACACAGTGTTATTTATTACTCATGAATGGGAACATCGTTTGAACTGCCCTTATGCCGATTCTGGGTTCTATAGACATAGATATACATTTTGCGCAATGGAGCCCAAAATAGTTACATATTTTCTTTAAAAAGAGCAACAAAAGAAATGGAAACAATTTAGGAGGAAATCCACTGAATCACACTGACTCAGCAATGCCATCCCATTGGTCACAGACCTCAGTTCAATGTTTAGTTTTGATTTACATTTGGTTGAGTTGTCAACTAAAGTGAATTCAAGGTGAAATCAATAAAAAATGTCACCATGTCATTGGATTTAGGTAAAAAGTTGGGTGAAAAAAAGACGAAATTCCCTTATGTTGATGACTTTTTTCAAATCCAATCAGTTTCCCAGATTGATTCAAGGTCATCACATTGAATTTTTTGGTTGAAATGAGGTGGAAATAACATTGATTCAACCAGTTTTTGCCCAGTGGGATGGGTCCTAACACTTACCGTAGCCTCTTCTGCTGCCAAAAAAGGGTGACTTCAAGAGCTTGAGGGGGCACACCAGAACACAACACTTACAGCCTGACACACACACAACACAGACAAACACACACTGAACCTCCAGTCATGCTGTCGAACGAGAGCTGCGAGAACAGCACCCATATCCACACGGACGGGAACCCGGTGGTGAGCACAGTGATGTTCATCCTGGGGGTGATGGGGAACGTCATCGCCCTGGCCATCCTGGGGGTCCACCAGAAGGAGCGGCGCACCAAGTCCTCCATCTTCTGCATCCTGGTGACGGGGCTGGCCATGACAGACCTGCTGGGAACCTGCTTCCTCAGCCCCCTGGTGTTTGTGTGTTACATCCGCCAGCGATCCCTGCTGGGGCTCACTGGGGACCAGGGACTCTGTGGCCTCTTCGCCTTTGCCATGACCTTCTTTGGCCTGGCCTCCATGCTGATCCTGTGTGCCATGGCCGTGGAGCGCTGCCTGGCCATCAGCCACCCCTATTTTTACTCCAAGTGCGTCCGACGCAGCTTCGCCAAGGTGGCCCTCCTGCTCATCTACATCTTCACCTGCGTCTTCTGTGTTTTGCCATTCTTCGGCTTCGGCCGCCACAAGCAGTACTGCCCAGGCACGTGGTGCTTCATCAAGATGGAGGCGGCGGGCGAGGGGGCGGACGAGGAGAGGAAGGTTCTGGCGTTCTCGCTGTCCTACGCCTCGGTCATGGCACTGCTGATCGTGGCGGTGTTTGTGTGCAACGGCTCGGTGATCGTCAGCCTGTGCCGGATGCACCGCAGCCAGATGACACGGCGTGGTTCGGTGGTGAACGGAGGGAGGAAGAGGAAGATGAGTCTGGGCTGGTTCGGACAGGGGGAGGAGGAGATGGACCACCTGATGCTGCTGGCCTCCATGACGGTCATCTTCGTTGTCTGCTCCTTGCCGCTCACTGTGAGTTGACCTCTGACCTCTCTCTCTCGCTCTCTGACCCATATCCCTGTCTGTTTGTTGTTGTGTGTGTTTGTTTATGTGTGTGCATGTTTATGTGTGGCCCCTGGCTATGACTGACACAGATTCTGTGACTTATCATCTGTGACTCAAACTCTCAGTGTTACTTATTCACTTTTCCTGTGACTGACTGACGTTTTTCTCTGACTAACTCTTGAATCTTTGACTCTTTGTGTCTCTTCAATTGTCTTATCCTCTCTGTCTGGATCTCTCTGTATGTGATTCTGTCTGATACCTAGTCATGACCCTAGAGCACACTGTCATACTGTAGCTATTAGATATTCAAAACCACTTCTCTCAACTCCTGATATCACTCTATGCACACAAAATGTTAGCATTCTGTGTAAACAATGGCATGCCGTGCCGTCTCGCTCACTGTTAGATCGGTTTGGTGTCTTGACATTGAAGTGAAATGAGAACCGTCCTGCTTTCAAGGAAGTATCAGATGTGGGGGAAACCTTTGTTCATAGGAGGACATTTTTTTTAAAAACAAGCTGGACCAGTCTCCTCTCCTCTACTCCCATGGGGCCGTTCATTATAACTTATCCACTACCCAGAGAGGTTTATCCCTTGGTTGCATAACCAGACAGTCATTATTTGGATAGTAAATAAAACTGACCGTTGATGTTTTTCTCCTCTAATTGAGAGGTGTGTGCTAAACCTGCCAGCCCTGGAGGACTGGATCTGGCCCCTCCCTCCCTTCCCAGAGGGCCGTGGGGCAGGTCGCTGCTTGGGCTCTCCCTACCTGTGGGTGCTGTTCAGTGGGTTTGACACTGAGCTGGGGAGGTACCCTCCTGTCCCTGTCTCTGGCCCTTCTGGCTGTTACCACACACACACATATATGGACATTTTGTGAAATACAGATAAAATGAGGGTTGATACCAAAACAATCTATGTTTTGTTGAAAGTCACTGGTTGAGTGTAAAGATATAAGCCTGCTATCCTTGGTTACACCCTAAATAAGCTTGCCAGTTTCCTTTGATTTAAGTTAAATCATTGATTTGTACTACTAAGTACAGCTGAGTAATGACATTCCAGTTACCAAAGTAGTTAAAGAGTAACTATAAGGAATGAAGGTAATTGACTGTAACGTCAACTGTTCCCTTTTCTTTAAGTCATTCAACACCAACCGTCTCCCTGAGGTCTCTCTGCTGCCTGTGGGTGATAAGCCATGATGAGACAGAAAGTTGACAGAGAGGTTTTTAAGGAACTATCTTAGTGCAGTCTCAGTCAGGATCTGTGGTTGATATCTGAGGGAAATATTCAGGCACGTCCTGACTCCTGAGTCATTCCTTGGAACAGACGGTATCTGTTGAAATTCAAAGATAACCAAATACTACTAAATATGTAGATACAGTCGGCTTGATTCACATGCAGACGGTAAGAAAGGTTCCCCTGCAGGTTGGGCCTGGGCCTGTGATACCTGAGCAGGGCCGTCTCCAGGCATAAGTGACATAAGCGGTCGCTTAGGGCCCCAGGCCGCAAGGGCCCCCCAACCCCCCAGAATGTATATATATATATATTAATTTTTTTAAATTTTGAACTCAATCTGGGTCTCAACTTACTGTTGAGAGTTAGAATAGTAGAATGCACAAGGTGCAAGCCCGACATTTGGTTGTGCATCAGCAATTTCTATCTTGTTATGTCAGTCACTGACAGTCACTCAATTAGCCATGTCAGCTAATAATTTTTAGATTGGTAAATTAGTCTAGCCAGCTAGCTAAACTCGCAGTAATCATGGCCGAATACCATCCAGGCACGCCAAATCTCGTTTAGGGCCCCAAAAAGGCTAGAGCCGGCCCTGCCTGAGGGAAATCATTTAAGCCAGGGTACATCCTGAGTGTCACGTCAAGGCCGTTAATCTGGTGAATAATTGAAACGCCTGTTATTATGGAATCACCCAACTGACTGACTCACACATCACCTCAGACATGCCACACTGCCGGTGTCTGTGTGTGTGCGTGTGTGTGTGTGTGGGGAAGGGTGCATGTACAGTACCAGTTAAAAGTTTGGACACACCTACTCATTCAAGGGTTTTTCTTTATTTTTACTATTTTCTACATTGTAGAATAATAGTGAAGACATCAAAACTATGACATAATACAATGGAATCATGTAGTAACCAAAAAAGTGTTAAACAAATCAAAATATATTTTATATTTGAGATTCTTCAAAGTAGCCACCCTTTGCCTTGATGACAGCGTTGCACACTCTTGGCATTCTCTCAACCAGCTTCATGAGGTAGTCACCTGGAATGCATTTCAATTAACAGGTGTGCCTTCTTAAAAGTTAATTTGTGGAATTTCTTTCCTTCTTAATGTGTTTGAGCCAATCAGTTGTGTTGTGACAAGGTAGGGGGGTATACAGAAGATAGCCCTATTTGGTAAAAGACCAAGTCCATATTATGGCAAGAACAGCTAAAATAAGCAAAGAGAAACAACAGTCCATAATTACTTTAAGGTATGAAGGTCAGTAAATCTGGAAAATTTCAAGAAGTTTCTTCAAGTGCAGTCGCAAAAACCATTAAGTGCTATGATGAAACACCTCCAGGCTGTGTAAGGCTATTTGACCAAGAAGGAGAGTGATGGAGTGCTGCATCAGATGACCTGGCCTCCACAATCCCCTGACCTTAACACAATTGAGATGGTTTGGGATGAGTCGGACCGCAGAGTGAAGGAAAAGCAGCCAACAAGTGCTCAGCATATGTTGGAACTTCAAGACTGTTGGAAACGCATTCCAGGTGAAGCTGGTTGAGAGAATGCCAAGAGTGTGCAAAGCTGTCATCAAGGCAAAGGGTGGCTATTTGAAGAATCTCAAATATCAAATATATTTTGAATTGTTTAACACTTTTTTGGTTACTACATGATTCCATATGTGTTATTTCATAGTTTTGATGTCTTCACTATTATTCTACAATTGAGAAAATAGTAAAAATAAAGAAAAGCCCTGGAATGAGTAGGTGTATCCAAACTTTTGACTGGTACTGTGTGTGCACACGTGTGTTTGTGTGTGCCTGCGCATGCGTGCATGTATGCGTGTGTCTGTATGTGAATGTGACTATGAATGGATGAAAGCGAGGTAATGGAGAAGTGTGTATCGGATGAGTTCAGTTCGGCACAGTGCATGTCAAGGCAGTAGTCTCTCCTCCCAGCTAAGGCCAGCTGCTTGGCATACAGCCCCAGGCCTGTAGTTAGGATGTGGGGTTAGCGTGTAAGACTGCCTGCCTTTCTGGAGCTGAAAGACTGTTGGAACATGATGGAAACCTGAAAAAGAGGCGATGCAGTCCCCTGTAGTTCAGTTGGTAGAGAATGGCGCTTGCAACGCCAGGGTTGTGGGTTCGTTTCCCATGGGGGGCCAGTATGAAAATGTATGCACTCACTAACTGTAAGTCGCTCTGGATAAGAGTGTCTGCTAAATGACTAAAAATGTAAAAAATATCATTAAAAAAAATAATGCAGGATGGAGGAAAGAAACTACTGTAGTTTTGTGGGAACTATAATTCCCTCTTTAATATGGTAGAGTGGCAATGGGATAGATAGAGAGTCTAGTTTACAGTGGGGAAAAAAAGTATTTAGTCAGCCACCAATTGTGCAAGTTCTCCCACTTAAAAAGATGAGAGAGGCCTGTCATTTTCATCATAGGTACACGTCAACTATGACAGACAAATCTAGAAAAAAAAATCCAGAAAATCACATTGTAGGATTTTTAATGAATTTATTTGCAAATTATGGTGGAAAATAAGTATTTGGTCACCTACAAACAAGCAAGATTTCTGGCTCTCACAGACCTGTAACTTCTTCTTTAAGAGGCTCCTCTGTCCTCCACTCGTTACCTGTATTAATGGCACCTGTTTGAACTTGTTATCAGTATAAAAGACACCTGTCCACAACCTCAAACAGTCACACTCCAAACTCCACTATGGTCAAGACCAAAGAGCTGTCAAAGGACACCAGAAACAAAATTGTAGACCTGCACCAGGCTGGGAAGACTGAATCTGCAATAGGTAAGCAGCTTGGTTTGAAGAAATCAACTGTGGGAGCAATTATTAGGAAATGGAAGACATACAAGACCACTGATAATCTCCCTCGATCTGGGGCTCCACGCAAGATCTCACCCCGTGGGGTCAAAATGATCACAAGAACGGTGAGCAAAAATCCCAGAACCACACGGGGGGACCTAGTGAATGACCTGCAGAGAGCTGGGACCAAAGTAACAAAGCCTACCATCAGTAACACACTACTCCGCCAGGGACTCAAATCCTGCATTGCCAGACGTGTCCCCCTGCTTAAGCCAGTACATGTCCAGGCCCGTCTGAAGTTTGCTAGAGTGCATTTGGATGATCCAGAAGAGGATTGGGAGAATGTCATATGGTCAGATGAAACCAAAATATAACTTTTTGGTAAAAACTCAACTCATCGTGTTTGGAGGACAAAGAATGCTGAGTTGCATCCAAAGAACACCATACCTACTGTGAAGCATGGGGGTGGAAACTTCATGCTTTGGGGCTGTTTTTCTGCAAAGGGACCAGGACGACTGATCCGTGTAAAGGAAAGAATGAATGGGGCCATGTATCGTGAGATTTTGAGTGAAAACCTCCTTCCATCAGCAAGGGCATTGAAGATGAAACGTGGCTGGGTCTTTTAGCATGACAATGATCCCAAACACACCTCCCAGGCAACGAAGGAGTGGCTTCGTAAGAAGCATTTCAAGGTCCTGGAGTGGCCTAGCCAGTCTCCAGATCTCAACCCCATAGAAAATCTTTGGAGGGAGTTGAAAGTCTGTGTTGCCCAGCGACAGCCCCAAAACATCACTGCTCTAGAGGAGATCTGCATGGAGGAATGGGCCCAAATACCAGCAACAGTGTGTGAAAACCTTACAGAAAACGTTTGACCTGTGTCATTGCCAACAAGGGGTATATAACAAAGTATTGAGAAACTTTTGTTATTGACCAAATACTTATTTTCCACCATAATTTGCAAATAAATTCATAAAAAATCCTACAATGTGATTTTCTGGAATTTATTTTCTAATTTTGTCTGTCATAGTTGACATGTACCTATGATGAAAATTACAGGCCTCTCTCATCTTTTTAAGTGGGAGAACTTGCACAATTGGTGGCTGACTAAATACTTTTTTTCCCCACTGTATATAACACGCTTACCACTTCTGTCAATACTGAGCACACATACAGTGCCTTCGGAAAGTATTTAGAACCCTTGACTTTTTCCACATTTTGTTATGTTACTGCCTTATTCTAAAATTGATTGAATAAAACAAATTCCTCAGCTATCTACACACAATACCCCATAATGACAAAGTGAAAACAGTTTTTTTGAAATGTTGCAAATTTATAAAAAATAAAAAACATAAATACCTTATTTACATAAGTATTCAGATCTTTCACTATGAGACTCGAAATGTAGCTCAGGTGCATCCTGTTTCCATTGATCATCCTTGAGATGTTTCTACAACTTGATTGGAGTCCACCTGTGGTAAATTCATTTGATTGGACATGATTTGGAAAGGCACACACCTGTCTATATAAGGTCCCACAGTTGACAGTGCATGTCAGAGCAAAAAGCAAGTCATGAGGTCGAAGGAATTGTCTGTAGACAGGATTGTGTCGAGGCACAGCTTTGGGGAAGGGTACCAAACATTTTCTGCAGCATTGAAGGTCCCCAAGAACACAGTGGCCTCCATCATTCTTAAATGGAAGAAGGTTGGAACCACCAAGACTCGTCCTAGAGCTGGCCACCCGGACAAACTGAGCAATCAGGGGAGAACGGCCTTGGTCAGGGAGGTGACCAAGAACCCGATGGTCACTCTGACAGAGCTCTAGAGTTCCTCTGTGGAGATGGGAGAAACTTCCAGAAGGACAAATATCTCTGCAGCACTCCACCAATCATGCCTTTATGGTAGAGTGGCCAGACGGAAGCCACTCCTCAGTAAAAGGCACATGACAGCCCGCTTGGAGTTTGCCAAAAGGCACCTAAAGTCTCTCAGACCATGAGAAACAAAATTATCTTGTCTGATGAAACCAAGATTGAGCTCTTTGGCCTGAATGCCAAGCGTCACGTCTGGAGGAAACCTGGCGTCATCCCTATGGTGAAGCATGGTGGTGGCAGCATCATGCTGTGGGGATGTTTTTAAGCGGCAGGGACTGGGAGACTAGTCAGGATCGAGGGAAAGATGAACGGAGCAAAGTACAGAGAGATCCTTGATGAAAACCTGCTCAGGACCTCAGACTGGGGCGAAGGTTCACCTTCCAACAAGACAACGACCCTAATCACACAGCCAAGACAACGAAGGAGTGGCTTTGGGACAAGTCTCTGAATGTCCTTGAGTGGCCCAGCCAGAGCCCGGACTTGAAGCTGATCGAACATCTCTGGAGATACCTGAAAATAGCTGTGCAGCAACGCTCCCCATCCAAACTGACAGAACTTGAGAGGATCTGCAGAGAAGAATGGGAGAAACTCCCCAAATACAGGTGTGCCAAGCTTGTAGCGTCATACCCAAGACGACTCAAGGCTTTCATCGCTGCCAAAGGTGCTTCAACAAAGTACTGAGTAAAGGGTCTGATGTAAATGTGATATTTCCGTTTTTTTATTTTTAATAAAATAGCTGAAATGTCTAAAAACCTGTTTTTGCTTTGTCATTATGGGGTATTGTGTGTAGATTGATGAGGGGGAAAAAACTATGTAATCAATTTTAGAATAAAGCTGTAACGTAACAAAATGTGAAAAAAGTAAATGGGTCTGAATACTCTCAGAAGGCAGTACAGTACACACACACACCACACACACTCAGACTCACGGGCACGCCTCCGTCTCTCCGTCCAGTTCTTATTAATGGAATGTAAACACGTTGATGTAACACTATACAGTAGAGCACAATGCTTGGCGCTGAAGAATAGATGCTTTTCTCACAGCGGTCTGCTTTCAGCACCACCACAAGTAATGTAATCTAGTGAGGCTAGCTGGAACAAGTGAATGTGAGAGAGATGGAAAGAAGAGATAAATATGGTGCATTTGGCTGATAAGAGGAGGATGTGTGTGCTTTCAGTCTGTCTACTCTGCAAGTGATGTATGGCGTGAGTGAGGGAGGAGAGAGAGGTTGAAAACCAGAAAGAGAAAGATGAATGGCCAGCTGGACTGATGCTGCTTGATACAGTGTAGGGCATTTCCATGTAAAAGGCTCCATGACCACTAATGTGAAGTTCATAGGAGCATATCAAATTTGGTGTCAAAAGAAAGCTAAGAGTCTATTTTTTTATTTTTTATTAAGGCATATATCAATTCTTCCATCATTTTCCATCCTAAAAATGTGGAATAAGTAAAGGCTTTCTGGTCAAACAGATGGAACAGGGGTCTTGTCTTCTGTAAGTTTAAGAAATATTACCTAGTGTCTTGTCATTCTGTCACCAACAATAATGAACGTTTACAGAAGTAACAAGTAAAGGTAGACCTACCAATTAGTTATAGTGTTTTTCCTGAGAACAATTTAGTTTATGATTTATTAGGTGATTAAAATGTGTCATTCTGTTACCAAATCGGTAACAGAATGACCAAAAAGCAGTAACAGAATGACTGCAACTGAATTGGCTGCAATGGGAATTCATAGTAGTCACAAACCACAGTTGGGTCACGTGCTACTGTCCTTTCTTCCACAGGCATACTGTTATGCTCAGCTCATAACTGATTTATTGATCTTTCTGTCGTGGGGTGGTAAAAGCAAGAGTGTCTCTTCTCTCTCTCCATTTAATGTCACCTCTCCTAGCTCTAACTGACACCTACCCATGAGCCCCCTCTCTTTCCATGAGCCCCCTTTCACCTAATGAGCACCGACTGACACAGGATGTCCATGGGCGTTGAAATGTAGTTCATAGCCCACTGAATCAACATTGTTTCCACTTCATAAAAAATAAAAAATAAACATGTATCACGTTGAATATACGCGGAAAACCGATTGGATTTGCAAAAAGTCATGAATATAAGGGAACCTGACGACCGAGGTCAGCCTGCAGGCGCCCGACCCACCACAAGGAGTCGCTAGAGCGCAATGAGCCAAGTAAAGCCCCCCCCCCACCCAAACACTCCCCTAACCCAGACGACGCTGGGCCAATTGTGCGCCGCCCTATGGGAATCCCAATCACGGCCGGTTGTGATACAGCCCAGGATCAAACCCGGGTTTGTAGTGACGCCTCTAGTACTGCGATGCAGTGCCTTAGACTGCTGAGCCACTCGGGAGGCTTCACCCAACTTTTAACCTAAATCCAATGTCATTTAGATATTTGTTGTTGATTTCATGTTGAATTCACATTAGTTGACAACTCAGTCAAATCAATTTGAACTGGTGTCTGTTTCACAAGTTTGGACAGCACAGTACTGTACAGTAGAGTTTAGTACACTACAGTACAGTAAGCACACTAGAGTAGAGTACAGTATAATTTACTGAACTATACTGTACTGTACTGAACTATACTCTACTATACTATACTGTGCTGTACTCTACTGTGCTGGTCTGTGAAGTCCAAACTTGTGGAACATAGACGTCTATGATTGGTACAGATTTTTGGTCTTGTTTGGGGGCGGAGCTCATTCGAATAATAGCCAGTGTGTAGAATAATACCCAAACGTACAAAGGAGGATATTACATTTTTTACCTTCGTGTACCTATTCAGGATATCACCATGACGAGAATAACATTCATAATTATGAATTTCTGTATAGTACAGATTAGGGACCCATGATGTCATTCTGTTACCTTCATTCTGTTATCGCAGGGGTGTTAAACTCATTCCATGAAGGGCCTAGCGTCTGCAGGTTTTTGTAAGACCTAGACAACCAGGTGAGAGGAGTTCTTTACTAATTAGTGACCTTAATTCATCAATCAAGGACAAGGGAGGAGTGAAAACCTGCAGACACTCGGCCCTCCGTGGAGTGAGTTTGACAGGTGTTACAATACTGCATGGTTATTGAACTTCACTTATTGTAGTTCAATAACCACATTTTTTTTTTTTTTACTCAAGGTGTCATATCATAGCTGACACCACATTCTTTCTGCAGACATCTTTGAATCTTATTTCGGAGTACATGTAGATATTTAACAGAGATTTTGGAAATCGTGGTCACATAAACAACTGAGGGAGATTTTCACGTCATTCTGTAACCAAACTGTACAACTGTACGGTTCTTTGAGTAAATGTTTTTTGTAAAGTTTTCAGTGGAAATTGTTCAAATTAGTCCCTGTGCATAGAGTTGTATGGTTTGTTTAACTTTGCAATACAGTGAAAAATAGGAGTCTCAGCTTCATTCTGTTATCGTGGAATTGCCCTGCACTAGTTTCTAGTGGTTAGAATCAGTCTTGTTCCCCAACAGTAAATTTCATCCAGACAGTAAATGTGGTTGTTTAATTAACATTACAGGCTCAGATCAATGTTTGATGATGGAGTCTGTAGGTATTTATAATATTTGCTTTGTGGTTTATTGAGGAGGGACTTTTTCAGGTGTGAAAAGGTGAAAGGTACAATGATATGTAACATAACAGGACAGCAGACATTGCACCAGCGGACACAGTTCCCTTTCAGACTTCTTTTCATGTTTCAATCTGCAACCTACATTTAAAATTTGACCCAAGGTCAGCAGCTATATGGAGTATTGTAATTTGTTGGTCACTGCCACTTTAGTAAGCCTGTATTTACCCAGGCCTCTCAGCGCTGTTCATATGGCCTTCAATTCCCTTTCACCCTGCTTTGATTTACATCCTGCATTTGGTTGTATAAAGCGTTTGTGACACGGAGCAGAATAGATTGGTATCATTAAACGATCGCCCTTGACACTCTGAGGGCTATTGTACATAACAGTGGCTGATCTAATTGAGGGAAAAAAGTATTTGATCCCCTGCTGATTTTGTATGTTTGCCCAATGACAAAGACATGATCAGTCTATCATTTTAATGGTAGGTTTATTTGAACAGTGAGAGACAGAATAACAACAACAAAATCCAGAAAAACACATGTCAAAAATGTTATAAATTGATTTGCATTTTAATGAGGGAAATAAGTATTTGACCCCTCTGCAAAACATGACATAGTACTTGGTGGCAAAACCCTTTTTGGCAATCACAGAGGTCAGATGTTTCTTGTAGTTGGCCACCAGGTTTGCACACATCTCAGGAGGGATTTTGTCCCACTCCTCTTTGCAGATCTTCTCCAAGTCATTAAGGTTTAGAGGCTGACGTTTGGCAACTCGAACCTTCAGATCCCTCCACAGATTTTCTATGGGATTAAGGTCTGGAGACTGGCTAGGCCACTCCAGGACCTTAATGTGCTTCTTCTTGAGCCACTCCTTTGTTGCCTTGGCTGTGTGTTTTGGGTCATTGTCATGCTGGAATACCCATCCACGACCCATTTTCAATGCCCTGGCTGAGGGAAGGAGGTTCTCACCCAAGATTTGACGGTACATCGTCCCTTTGATGCGGTGAAGTTGTCCTGTCCCCTTAGCAGAAAAACACCCCCAAAGCATAATGTTTCCACCTCCATGTTTGACGGTGGGGATGGTGTTCTTGGGGTCATAGGCAGCATTCCTCCTCCTCCAAACACGGCGAGTTGAGTTGATGTTAGATGTGTCTTGCGAAAGTATTCACCCACCTTGGCATTTTTCCTATTTTGTTGCCTTACAACCTGGAATTAAAATGGATTTTGGGGGGTTTTGTATGAGTTGATTTACACAACATGCCTACCACTTTGAAGATATAAAATATTTTTTCTTGTGAAACAAACAAGAAATAAGACAAAAAAAAACAGAAAACTTGAGCGTGCATAACTATTCACCTCCCTCAAAGTCAATACTTTGTAGAGCCACCTTTTGCAGCAATTACAGCTGCATGTCTCTTGGGGTATGTCTCTATAAGCTTGGCACATCTAGCCACTGGGAATTTCTAGGCAAAACTGCTCCAGCTCCTTCAAGTTGGATGGGTACCGCTGGTGTACAGCAATCTTTAAGTCATACCACAGATTCTCAATTGGATTGAGATCTGGGCTTTGACGAGGCCATTCCAAGACATTTAAATGTTTCCCCTTAAACCACTCAAGTGTTGCTTTAGCAGTATGCTTAGGGTCATTGCCATGCTGGATGGTGAACCTCCGTCCCAGTCTCAAATCTCTGGAAGACTGAAACAGGTTCCCTCAAGAATTTCCCTGTATTTAGCGCCATCCATTCAATTCTGACCAGTTTCCCAGTCCCTGACGATGAAAAACATCCCCACAGCATGATGCTGCCACCACCATGCTTCACTGTGGGGATGGTATTCTCGGGGTGATGAGAGGTGTTGGGTTTGCGCCAGACATATCATTTTCCAAAAAGCAACATTTTAGTCTCATCTGAACAGAGTACCTTCTTCCATATGTTTTGGGGAGTCTCCCACATGCCTTTTGGCGAACACCAAACGTGTTTGCTTATTTTTTTCTTTAAGCAATGGCTTTTTTCTGGCCACTCTTCCATAAAGCCCAGCTCTGTGGAGTGTACGGCTTAAAGTGCTGCTATGGACAGATACTCCAATCTCCGCTGTGGAGCTTTGCAGCTCCTTCAGGGTTATCTTTGGTCTCTTTGTTGCCTCTCTGATTAATGCCCTCCTTGCATGGTCCGTGAGTTTTGGTGGGCAGCCCTCTCTTGGCAGGTTTGTTGTGGTGCCATATTCTTTCAATTTTTTAATAATGGATTTAATGGTGCTCTGTGGGATGTTCAAAGTTTGATATTTTTTTATAACCCAACCCTGATCTGTACTTTTCCACAACTTTGTCCCTTACCTGTTTGGAGAGCTCCTTGGTCTTCATGGTGCCGCCCCTTGCTTAGTGGTGTTGCAGACTCTGGGGCCTTTCAGAACAGGTGTATATATACTCAGATCATGTGACACTTAAATGAAGTCCACCTGTGTGCAATCTAACTAATTATGTGACTTCTGAAGGTAATTGGTTGCACCAGATCTTATTTAGGGGCTTCATCGCAAAGGGGGTGAATACAAATGCACGCACCACTTTCCCATTATTTATTTGAAACAAGTAATTTTTTTAATTTCCCTTCACCAATTTGGACTATTTTGTGTATGTCCATTACATGAAATCCAAATAGAAATCCATTTAAATTACAGGTTGTAATACAACAAAATTGGAAAAATGCCAAGGGGCATGAATACTTTTGCAAGGCATTGTATAAGAGCTGAAGTCCTGTTCTCTGGTGAACAATTGATGGTCTGAGTCTTTTAACAAGCTGATTGTAAATGTCAATGGTCATTTACAGTGCCTTGCAAAAGTATTCAGACCCCTTGAATTTCTTCAGATATTATTGTGTTACGGAGTGTGATTAAAATTGATTTACAGTTTGTCATTTTTTGTCAACAATATTCACAAAATACTCTAATGTTAAAGTGGAAGATTATTTATTAAAGATGAATAAAAGATTGAATAACTAAAATATAGTAGTTGCATAAGTATTCAGCCCCTTTGTTTAGGCAAGCCTAAGTTAGTTCAGGAGTAAAATGTACCTTAACAAATAACATAAAAAGCTACATGGACTTGGGGTTGACATTTTACATTTACATCATTTAGCAGACGCTCTTATCCAGAGCGACTTACAAATTGGTTCAGTCAACTTATGATAGCAAGTGGGACAACCACTTTTTCTTCTTCTTTTTTTTTATATGGTGGGGTGGGGGTAGAAGGATGACTTTATACTATTCCAGGTATTCCTTAAAGAGGTAGGGTTTCAAGTGTCTCCGGAAGGTGGTCAGTGACTCCGCTGTCCTGGCGTCGTGGGGGAGCGGGAACTGTGCTTCTGTAGAGGTAGGGGAGCTAGCAGGCCAGAGGTGGATGAACGTAGTGCCCTCGTTTGGGTGTAGGGTCTGATCAGAGCCTGAAGGTAAGGAGGTGCCGTTCCCCTCACAGCTCTGTAGGCAAGCACCATGGTCTTGTAGTAGATGCGAGCCTCAACTGGAAGCCAGTGGATTGTGCAGAGGAGCGGGGTGACATGAGAGAACTTGGGAAGGTCGAACACCAGACGGGCTGCGGCGTTCTGGATAAGTTGTAGGGGTTTAATGGCACAGGCAGGGAGCCCAGCCAACAGTGAGTTGCAGTAATCCAGATGGGAGATGACAAGTGCCTGGATTAGGACCTGTGCCGCTTTCTGTGTAAGGTAGGGTCGTACTCTGCGAATGTTGTAGAGCATGAACCTGCAGGATCGGGTCACCGCTTTGATGTTAGCAGAGAACGACAGGGTGTTGTCCAGGGTCATGCCAAGGCTCTTTGCACTCTGGGAGGAGGACACAATGGAGTTGTCAACCGTGATGGCGAGATCATGGAGTGGGCAGTCCTTCCCCGGGAGGAAGAGCAGCGCCGTCTTGCCGAGGTTCAGCTTGAGGTGGTGATCCGACATCTACGCTGATATGTCTGCCAGACATGCAGAGATGCGATTCGCCACCTGGTTATCAGAAGTGGGAAAGGAGAAAATTAATTGTGTGTTGTCTGCGTAGCAATGATAGGAGAGACCATGTGAGGATATGACAGAGCCAAGTGACTTGGTGTATACAGAGAATAGGAGAGGGCCTAGAACTGAGCCCTGGGGGAAACCAGTGGTGAGAGCACGTGGTGCGGAGACAGATTCTCGCAACGCCACGACATTTTTAAATGCTATATGGAATTGGTTTAAGAACATCATATCAATGATTGTTTTGCTATTTGAGTTTGAATTTTAAGACCCCTTGACGTATCCCAAAAAATATTTGATGAATATTTGTATTTGGCCTTAATGCGATTAGCCCATAAAAACGCTTTGAATAATAGATTCACTACATGGAACAACAGATAGTCGAAATTAAGTTGGTTCTGAAGTATCTGTCCTATATCTGAGAGATATAACAAAGATCAGGAAACATTTGTATTTAACCCCTTATTTTCCGCAGAGGCAAGGAAATCGACTCTAGGGGGTTAAAGATGCACTATGCATAAATCGCTCCGCCATTTCCTGGTTGCTAAAATTATATAGTTAGCCTAATTTCAGTTTATGTGACAAAACTAGTAAGTATAGTGTAGAGAATCATTCTACCATCTAAACCGCTGTGAAATATATTTTCCATTACCAAAAATATTGTATTTTCAGCTGTTTGAAGCTGGTGTACTAAACCGAAAGTAAAAGGTGTAAAAACTAAACATAAGAATGTTAAGCATAGCAATAACGCACATTGAACAGATCTACCGCTTCTTAGACTTGCTTTCAATGAGAATGACAGATCTATAACTCACATTTCTATGTGAATTTGGTCGGGTCGCCCAAAACTTTACATATTGCATTAAAAAAAATACTATAGCAAGACTTGGAAGTTGCTGTCTAGCCATGATCCCCAACACCTTGACAGAGCTTGAAGAATGTTGAAAAGAATAATAGGCAATTATTGCACAATCCAGGTGTGCAAAGCTCTTAGAGACTTACCCAGGAAGACTCACAGCTGTAATTGCTGCCATGGGTGTTTCTAACATGTATGGACTCAGGGAGCTGAATACTTATACAACCTATATATTTAATTTATATTGATTTGATGGCAGCCATTACAGCTGTAAATGATTTTGAATCAGATTCTACAAACTTTGCACAACTCTAAGGGCAACATATATACATAGTTTGTCAAAATTGCTCAAACTCAGTACATTTGGTTGGTAGTCATTGATGGACAGAAATATTGTTGTGCAAAGTTAGTGGAATCTTATTCAAAATGATTCACAACTTTAATTGCTGCCTAAGGCGCGTCCACCAAGTATTATCTCTGGGGTGTCAATACATACCCCACTGGGCACAAACTGGTTAAATCAATGCTGTTTCAGCGTAATTCGTCACCGTATTGTGACGTGAAAACCTATGTGGAAATTACATTGGATTTGGAAAAAAGTCATCAACATAAACTGTTTTTGTGAAATTTCAACCACATGATTATGTCATCATGGTAACCAATTTGGTCCGTTCAGGTCTAACTAGTGTTTTTAGACAGTTTTCTTCCTACGGGTAATGTATGCCCAAGGGCAACTTGCTTAAATTCCCCTTTTCCCAGAAACACACAAAGTTACCAAATAGAGTAACCAGCAAATGAGTGAGTACACAAAACAACACAGTATCCATACTCACATACGGAAAATAGTCTCTAACAAAGTTACCAAACAGAGTAACCAGCAAATGAGTGAGTACACAGGACACCACAGTATCCATACTCACATACGGAAAATAGTCTCTCTCTACAAACACAACTGACCGGCTTTTAAACAATGGGATGTGTGATTGAAAAACCAGAAACAGGTGGTGCAATGCATAGGAATGTCCACTGATTGGTCCACCTCAGCAATCAGCAGACACCCCAACGACCACCAATCAGGAACATACAGGACACCTGTGATTAGGGCAGGAGAGGAAAAACACAAAAAGAAGGATACCTGTATCTGTTACAAACATATGTTGAGTTTGTACCTTTGAAACAACATCAGCTGTTCAACATAAAATCCACTATGAGAAAATAATTATAGGCTGGGCAGCATCTCCTTCTGGAGAGTTGATCACCTATCAGCTATCCTTTTGGTCTCCCATCCAGGGTTTTAACCAAGCCCTGCTTTGACATTTCTAACTATTACCAATACACTATCGTGAGAATGATTGTTGAGAAATCTCCACTTAATCGATTCACTGTTGCAATCAAAGCCATTGCAAAGGGTAGGTTTAACAGAGCAAATGAAATGTAACCATACCTTTTTAATCATATATGATCAATAGTGCTTTTTAGGCCTATAGCATTTGGGAAGTCATAAACAGCAATTGTTTAAATTCAGCACAGGATTAAACAAAAAACAGACAATACATATAGGCCTAGGGCAGGACTGCCCAACCCTGTTCCTGGAGAGCTACCGTCCTGTAGGTTTTTGCCCCAACCCTAATCTAGCACACCTGATTCTAATAATTAGCAGGTTGATAAGATGAATCGGGTTAGTAACACCTGGGGTTGGAGCTCAAACCAACAGGAGGGTAGCTCTCCAGGAACAGGGTTGGGCAACCCTGGCCTAGGGTTTCAAGCTTTGGTTGATTTTAAATGGAATTTACAAGTTAATATAAAATATGTTGGATTCATATCTCCATCTCAACCAAAAATGTAAGTTAAAGAATAGGACTAAATCAAATCAAACTGTATTTAAAGTACATTTAAAGTTCGATTTGATTTAAATGAGTCCCATTCTTAAACGTAGATGTTTGGTTGAAATTATTAATTTGTAGAAAAACTGAAATTAATGCCAGACTCAGTGGCACAGATTGAGCTATCCAAGCAGAAGATGTTGGTTGCGCTGACAACCAAACAATATTCAATATCACTTTTGCAATACAGTAAATAGCCTATTAACTTGTCAACAAGTTAGCAAATTTGGATTCACTTCTCCATCTCAACCAAAAATACAAGTTATAGAATAGGATGAAGCCAGTGGCTCAGATGGAACTATCCAAGCAGTAGATACATCTCCTTTAAATGTTGATATTTGGTTCCGTTGTCAACCAAATACAACCAAACTTTATGATTTGTAATACTGTAAATAGCCTACAGTTAAGGCTATCTTACAAACTAATGTAACAGTATTTATTCAACCTTAAAATGAGGAACACATCATGGCCACATTTTGAGGTTACTGTAACATTAAATATCTTCTTAAGTAATCATAGAATGCGTGCATGTTCACGATAGCATGCAAAGGTCGCAGGTCTGTGGAAATTTTCACAAATGCTATAATAATCTGCAGCAGCATTGATCACTTGCCCGATGTACTTTAATGTAATCTCAACTGCAATCCAGGTTATTTGGTTGTGCTATTAGATGAAGCACAGTGAAAGTTGTATAAATAAACAAATATCTGCCATTGTATTCCCATTTGAACTTAGTTGTGCTTGTAAATGGTTAAAAGCGCAGTGATAACACATTTAGGTGACAACTAAACCACAAATCAGACATTGATTTTCCATTGGAATTTGGTTGTGCTTTTAGATGGTTGAAAGCATAGTGAAAATACATTGGGAATTCAACAAAGTTTTGGCTGTCTTTTTGAGTGGTTGAAAATAGGTTGTAATCTCATTGATCAATGTATCAACCAAATATTAGCAAATTTTCCACGTTGGGACGCAATCAAGACTACTTCATTTTGTAATCAATTAGGACAATTTTCTATAATATTTATTTCACTTTGAAAATGTGGAGTAGGTTGTGTAGATCAGTAGAATAAAAAAACAAGTGTATTCCTTTTGAGATTTAATTTTAAGGCAGCAAAATGTGATTACTGTGCAAGGGGTGTGTATACTTTCACTATAGGCACTGGATCTATCATCTCTAGGTAGTGGGTGTGTGTGCGTGCTTGTGTGCGTGTGTGCGTGCATGCATGCATTACTGCGTGCATGTTCCCCCTCTAGTTAGTCAAATAGGGATGATGAGTGTAGTTCACCCACATTAAAAAATACTATAGTATACTATGGTATAAATACTATAGTATTCACTGTAGTGTTTTTGTGGACTTTACTATAATATTCCCTGTAGTGTTTTTGCAGAGTAAAGTCTGCAAAAACACTACAGTGAATACTGTAGTATTTACTGTAGTTTTGCGGACATGACTGTATTATACTGTAGTTTACAGTTTACTATAGTATAAATACTTATTACTGTAGTGTTTTTGCAGACTGTAGTATGCTGTAGTATTTACTGTAGTGTTTTTGCAGACTGTAGCAAATTTTCCATAACCTGTAGGAAGGTCGGACTGAGGTCTGAACAGATAGTTCAGAGCTTCTGCTCTTTTCTATAAGCTGTAGGGAACACAATAGGGCTCGGTCCAAGAACCTCTTATCCCTTAGGCAGTGTGATAAGAATCATACAACTTGATAATATCCTCCTCTGAGATAACAAACCACATGTAGGAGTGAAAGATGTGGCAGTACAGCACTGGATGGACAGGCTCTTAGTGTAAGGTGCCTGTGCAGTGATCTGGTCCATTGTTTTGGCCTGTGTGTTATTGCTCTCAGAGTCTCAGTGGACAGAAGATCAGTGGGTAAGGACCAGTCAGGACCACAGGAGCTGTCCATCGACCAGTATGCCTTATCACGCTTCTGTCATAGTTCCGCATGTCTAGTGTGGAGTCTTCCGGAGAGTAGATGTGCTCTGTGAGAGAGAGAACAAACCCACTTCCATGACCTCCCCTTCTCCCCCTGTCATCTCCTTACTAATATATGGTTAACACATGCCCATTCATCTGACAGGGCCAGACTAATAGCCTGACTGTAGCCTCTCACCTAATTGACCCTCACCCCTGTCCCTCCCCCGTACGTCCCCCATCCGCCCTCTAGGGAACAACCCACATAAAAAAATACTACAGTTTACTATAGAATACTACAGTACTTACTATTGAATTCTATAGTCAACTGCAGTATACTGTAGAATACTATACTACACACTGTAGTATCCCTCGATCATGTGTAGTACTTACTGTAGAATAATGTAGTATACTGTAGAATACTACTATAAATACTACAGTATTATCCGAGAGATAAAAAAACCCACTAGGAAATACTACAGTAATGTCCACAAAAACACAACACTTTTTTAAACTACAGTATTTAATTTACATACAGTGCCTTGCATAATTATTCATCCCCCTTGGCATTTTTCCTATTTCGTTGCATTACAACCTGTCATTTAAATGTATTTTTATTTGGATTTCATGTAATGGACATACACAAAATAGTGAAATGAAAAAAACAACTTGTTTCAAAAAAAGTCAAAAGAAATAATAACGGAAAAGTAGTGCGTGCATATGTATTCACCCCCTTTGCTATGAAGCCCCTAAATAAGATCTGGTGCAACCAATTACCTTCAGAAGTCACATAATTTGTTAAATAAAGTCCAGCTGTGTGCAATCTAAGTGTCACATGATCTGTCACATGATATGAGTATATATACACCTGTTCTGAAAGGCCCCAGAGTCTGCAACACCACTAAGCAAGGGGCACCACCAAGCAAGCGGCACCATGAAGACCAAGGAGCTCTCCAAACAGGTCAGGGACAAAGTTGTGGAGAAGTACAGATTAGGGTTGGGTTATAAAAAAATATCTGAAACTTTGAACACCCCACGGAGCACCATTAAATCCATTATTAAAAAATTGAAAGAATATGGCACTACAACAAACCTGCCAAGAGAGGGCCGCCCACCAAAACTCACGGACCAGGCAAGGAGGACATTAATCAGAGAGGGAACAAAGAGACCAAAGATAACCCTGAAGGAGCTGCAAAGCTCCACAGCGGAGATTGGAGTATCTGTCCATAGGACCACTTTAAGCCTTACACTCCACAGAGCTGGCCAGAAAAAAGCCATTGCTTAAAGAAAAATATAAGCAAACACGTTTGGTCTTCGCCAAAAGGCATGTGGGAGACTCCCCAAACATATGGAAGAATGTACTCTGGTCAGATGAGACTAAAATTTAGCTTTTTGGCCATCAAGGAAAACGCTATTTCTGGCTCAAACCCAACACCTCTCATCACCCCAAGAACACCATCCCCACAGTGAAGCATGGTGGTGGCAGCATCATGCTGTGGGGATGTTTTTCATCGGCAGGGACTGGGAAACTGGTCAGAATCTAAGGAATGATGGATGGCGCTAAATACAGGGAAATTCTTGAGAGAAACCTGTTTCAGTCTTCCAGAGATTTGAGACTGGGACGGAGGTTCACCTTCCAGCCGGACAATGACCCTAAGCATACTGCTAAAGCAACACTCGAGTGGTTTAAGGGGAAACATTTAAATGTCTTGGAATGGCCTAGTCAAAGCCCAGACCTCAATCCTATTGAGAAGCTGTGGTATGACTTAAAGATTGCTGTACACCAGCGGAACCCATCCAACTTGAAGGAGCTGGAGCAGTTTTGCCTTGAAGAATGGGCAAATATCCCAGTGGCTAGATGTGCCAAGCTTATAGAGACATACCCCAAGAGATGTGCAGCTGTAATTGCTGCAAAAGGTGGCTCTACAAAGTAAAGATTATTATTTTTTGGGGTGGGGGGTGAATAGTTATGCACGCTCAAGTTTTCAGTTTTTTTGTCTTATTTCTTGTTTGTTTCACAATACAAAATATTTTGCATCTTCAAAGTGGTAGGCATGTTGTGTAAATCAAATGATACAAACCCCCAAAAAATCAATTTTAATTCCACGTTGTAAGGCAACAAGATAGGAAAAATGCCAAGGGGAGTGAATACTTTCGCAAGCCACTGTATTCCTTGACCATTTCCAGCCACCATATCGCAATTTGTGCCACACATAAGTGAGAAACCTATAGTTGAAATCGGAAGTTTACATACACCTTAGCCAAAAACATTTAAACTCTGTTTTTCACAATTCCTGACATTGAATCCTAGTAAAAATCCCCTCTCTTAGGTCAGTTAAGATCACCACTTTATTTTAAGAATGTGAAATGTCAGAATAATAATAAATGATTTATTTAAGCTTTTATTTATTTCATCACACTCCCAGTGGGTCATAAGTTTACATACACTCAATCAGTATTTGGTAGCATTGCCTTTAAATTGTTTAACTTGGGTCAAACGTTTCGAGTAGCGTTCCACAAGCTTCCCACAACAAGTTGGGTGAATTTTGGCCCATTCCTCCTGACAGAGCTGGTGTAACTGAGTCAGGTTTGTAGGCCTCCTTGCTCGCACACACTTTTTCAGTTCTGCCCACACATTTTCTATAGGTTTGAAGTCAGGGCTTTGTGATGGCCACTCCAATACCTTGACTTTGTTGTCCTTAAGCCATTTTGCCACAACTTTGGAAGTATGCTTGGGGTCATTGTCCATTTGGAAGACCCATTTGCGACCAAGCTTTAACTTCCTGTCTGATGTCTTGATATGTTGCTTCAATATATCCACATCATTTTCCTTCCTCATGATGCCATCTATTTTGTGAAGTGCACCAGACCCTCCTGCAGCAAAGCACCCCCACAGCATGATGCTGCCACCCCTGTGCTTCACGTTGGGATGGTGTTCTTCGGCTAGCAAGCACCCCCTTTTTCCTCCAAAATTAACAATGGTCATTATGGCAAAACAGTTCTATTTTTGTTTCATCAGACCAGAGGACATTTCTCCAAAAAGTACGATCTTTGTCCCCATGTGCAGTTGCAAACCGTAGTCTGGCTTTTTTATGGCGGTTTTGGAGCAGTGGCTTCTTCCTTGCTGAGCGGCCTTTCAGGTTATGTCGATATAGGACTTGTTTACTGTGAATATAGATACTTTTGTACCTGTTTCCTCCAGCATCTTCACAAGGTCCTTTTCTGTTGTTCTGGGATTGATTTGCACTTTTCGCACCAAAGTACGTTCATCTCTAGGAGACAGAACGCGTCTCCATCCTGAGCGTTATGATGGCTGCGTGGTCCCATGGTGTTTATACTTGCGTACTATTGTTTGTACAGATGAATATGGTATATGGTGTTTGGACATTTCTCCCAAGGATGAAACAGCCTTGGGGAGGTCTACCATTTTTTCTCTGAGGTCTTGGCTGATTTCTTTTGATTTTCCCATGATGTCAAGCAAAGAGGCACTGAGTTTGAAGGTAGGCCTTGAAAGACATCCACAGGTACACCTCCAATTGACTCAAATGATGTCAATTAGCCTATCAGAAGCTTCTAAAGCCATGACATCATTTTCTGGAATTTTCCAAGCTGTTTAAAGGCACAGTCAACTTAGTGTATGTAAACTTCTGACCCACTGGAATTGTGATACAGTGAATTATAAGTGAAATAATCTGTCTGTAAACAATTGTTGGAAAAATTACTTGTATCATGCACAAAGTAGATGTCCTAACCGACTTGTCAAAACTATAGTTTGTTAACAAGACATTTGTGGAGTGGTTGAAAAAGTTTTAATGACTCCAACCTAAGTGTATGTAAACTTCCGAATTCAACTGTACATGCCAAGTGTAGACCATATTGTGTTCCCTACAGGTTATTGAAAAGAGCAGACGCTCTTAACTATCTGTTCAGACCCTTGTCCTACCTACCTACAGGTTAGGGAAAATTTACTATTTTAGTATATTTCCAGTAGGTATCCTGAAGGAGAAAGCCTTCTATGTTAAATATTTTTTTTTTTAACGCATTCGTTAATACTACAGTAATGTCCGCAAAAACACTACAGTAAATCCTACAGTATACTACAGTCCGCAAAGACACTACAGTAAATACTAAAGTATAGTAAAAAAAAAATGAAAATACTACAGTATACTACAATCTGCAAAAACGCTACATTAATTACTATAGTATAAACTACAGTTATACTATAGTTAACTGTAAATACTACAGTATACTACAATCCGCAAAAACACTACATTAATTACTATAGTAAATACTATAGTTTTCTTTTACTACAGTATTTTTCCTTCGCCGGCGCTATATGGACATAATATCATATCACAATTGTTTGTTTTTTTGACGGTATGACGGCATTTGATGGTATTTTATGTTTTTGAATAATAAAAGTTCTAAATATGCTTTATTAGTAGTTCATGACCCTAGAGTGGCAACACATAAATTATAAGTGATTTCAATTTCTCCATTTATACTGTTCAATCCAACTCCAAACCATTTTTTGTTGTTGCATTTCTGCATTTCTTGCACTTTTATTATCCTTTCCACACTGTGCCACGCAGCATGATATTGGCAGAAAATATAGGCCTAGTTAATTGGTAAACTGTTGAAATCATGGGATCAATAGTTTGGAATGTAGTGGGCAGCACCTTGAATACATTGTTGTTTGACATGACAATGAATTAATAAACCAGGGAGGAATTATTGACAGGGTAGGAACCAAAGTGTTGGTCAGTGTTTCCAGGTGATCCTAATTAGGTGTTACATTATGTGTTTTCTTACTTAATGTAGCTAGCTAGCTAGCTAGCCAACATATTCATGCTTCACCTATTCCTCTCTGATAAGATACCGTTGCACAAAAATGCTTATCTAGGCATACACCAGCACTGGTACCAGGCAGTATTAGCTAGCTAGCCATGCCTTGATCACACCGACAGCGTCATTACACAAAATGGTATGCAGCATCATCTGGATATGTGAGCAACAAAGGTTCAACATTCACATTCTGCTACCATTTCTGTCAAGCCATCTACACATACAGTTT